TCCGCCTCGTTCTGGCCCCGCCCCTAATTCTCCAACTCTTCCCCCACCACACCCACCCACCCCGGGCCTCTCTGACACCCAATCCGCCCCATTTTCCAGTTGTCTCAGTCTAGACCAAGCTTCCTAACGCTGTGGCATCTCCCCTCTCGCCTCCTCTCTGGCCCCCTCCGTGCTCCCTCCTCACCACCCTTATCCATCCCTTGGCGATCCAATCTGAAGTCCGCCGTTGCCTAGGCTTCGTCCCCTTCCCGCCACCAATCGGAAGAAGGCCCTGCTGACCTTTTGTCATAGCCCTCTCCCAGGTTCTCTGCCCCCCTACCCCCCGCCCCAAGACTCCCTGTTCCGGGTCCCTACCCTCCGTCCAGTCCAGTACCTTTGTACTCTTTGCAAGTCTCACTTTTCCCCAAGCACCCTTTCCCCCGTTCCGCTACCCACTCTTAGCTCTGCCCAGTCCCTGCCTACCTTGTTTGCTTTTCAAGCCCCTTTCGGCCCTTCTCTTCCCTTAGTCTTGCTTCCCTATAGCCCATTCAGGATGTTTTCTACCCTTTGTAGACCCCCCCACCTTCCTCCGTCCCGCCCCATCGTCTAGACACACATCCTGCCGACCCAGGCCAAGCTAGCAGCCTCAGCCCTGCCCCTTCTTTAGCTCGCCTCCTCCCTTCGTCCTTTCCAGACCTTGCTCGTCTGTACACCTGCTTGCCAGATCTCAGTTCTGTTCCCCTCAGTCCAGCCTGCTCCCATTCCGCGGGAAGGTGCTCCTTCTCCAGTTCCCGCCTCTAGTTCACACCCCCTCACTCTCCCAGCCCAATCTGGACTGGCTTTACTCTCTTCGACCCCGCCACTCTTTAAGATACGCCACGCCCTCTCCACCCGGTCCCGCCTAGTGTTTTAGGTGCCGGCGGGAGATCGCTTTTGTGTCTCTCCGCCCCCGTCTCCGTCCAATCAGGGCGGCCTCTCCCCCTGCGGCCCCGCCCTTCCAGGCCAGCCAGTCAGGCCCCTTCAAATAGCTTAGCCCTGTCCCCCGCCCTCTGTCCGCTCGTCCCTTTCTCCGGCTCAATCAGGTCTCCTTGTCATTTCCAGCCCCGCCCTCTCCATTCTCCCAGTGCGGCCCAGCACAATCATCAGCCGCCGGCTCGGCCTCCTTTGACGCCCCGCCCCGCCCCTCCGCCGAGACCCAATCGGCGAGTCCCACTGGCGGCCCCGCCCCGCCCAGCCA